TGTGCTTGACTTTTATGTAGGATGCCTTACGCTCAATGCTATGGAGGACATCAGTTTGGGATGTGGGCCGGGCAGTTGGGTGATGGTAGGGCAATTACGTTGGGGGAGGTTCTTAACTCTGAGTCTCAGAGGTGCGAATTACAGCTTAAGGGTGCTGGAAAGACTCCATACAGCCGGTTTGCTGATGGTCTTGCCGTCTTACGTAGTAGTATCCGGGAATTCCTCTGCAGTGAGGCAATACACAGTCTTGGAATTCCAACAACACGTGCTTTGTGTCTAGTGACAACTGGAAAATATGTAACCCGAGATATGTTCTACGAGTATGTTCCTTCATCTTTCAATTTGTAGTATGTTGATTGTGGTTAGAAACAGGGTAGTGCTATGTGTATCCGTACTGCATGCATCCTTCTGATCCATGGAGACAACTAGTTCTTGATCTTTTTCTTTTGGATAATTACATAAAGTATCCTTGAAGTTTGACCTAATATGGAAAGAAAAAAAAAAGAAAAAAAAAAAGAAGAGGAAGAAGAAGAAGAATGTCTGTGCTTGAGAATTACAAAATATATCCCTGAGTCTTGATCTAGTGTTAGAAGATGCAAGTGTGATGTTTTCGTAAATGTAACTTAAAAAAAAATAAAAAATTATTCATGGATAGCTGGACATTTTCTGTAGTTATGTCGAACTTCAAGGGTTTTTCATATCTTTTTAATTGTTCTCCCTATAAATATCTGGGAGGTTTTAGTTTGAGACCAAAATTTGCATTTTTTAAAGGGTCATATATGTTAGTGATAAAACTGGTAAAAAGACAATGTTTCCACAGTTGATAATAATGAGTTCGTTTGCATTCAGTGGCAATCCAAAGGATGAGCCTGGTGCAATTGTCTGCAGAGTTGCTCAATCTTTTCTACGTTTTGGTTCATACCAAATACATGCTTCAAGAGGGAAGGATGATCTTGCTCTTGTCCGCATGTTGGCTGACTATGCCATCAGGCATCATTTCCCCCATCTAGAGAACCTAAGCAAAAGTGAGAGTTTATCTTTCAGCACCGGTGAAGGAGATGATTCGATTGTGGATTTGACTTCTAATAAGTATGCAGGTAAATTTTGAATTGATGAGTTCACTCACAAATCTTTTGATGTGCGTCTCATTGGAATTTGTCTGCTAGATGATAATCATATTTCAGGTCTTATCGTTCGAAGACCAACCATTGTCACTGTTTGGTTGGAGGAGTTTGTTTTCTTGTAGTCTCTTTGCTATTCACCGATGTTTGCTTATGGGTTTTATAAATTGCTCAACTCATTATGTTTCCAAACTGCTGTCTTACACTCTGATTGGTAAATGTTGAGTAGATATCTACAGATAGTATGTAGACTGCTGATGATTTTATATATTCTTCTCATAATTAGTTCGGTTCATTGAAACGGAATCTAGCTATTCCAAACATGTATTGACGAAGTAACTCTATTTTAGGATACAAATGAATTTGATTATGGGATGGATAAAATGCAATAGCTACTAATCATCAATATATGCGTGTTTATATATATATATTATATGTATATATTTCTTTTCTTCAGTCCTTTTCAACTTCATTGTCCGTGCATCCACTGACAAATATTATATTGTATCTGTTTCGACTTTTGCATTTGGGTCATAGAAATGTTCTTTCTTGCGACTATTTCACCGTATTGGTCTGTAATAATTGTTGCATAATGTATGATAATTATCAGCTTGGGCGGTAGAAGTTGCTGAGCGTACAGCCTCCTTAATAGCAAAGTGGCAGGGTGTTGGCTTTACCCATGGGGTGCTCAACACAGATAACATGAGTGTGCTGGGACTCACCATAGATTACGGTCCTTTCGGTTTTTTGGATGCTTTTGATCCCAGTTTCACTCCAAACACTACTGATCTTCCTGGCAGAAGGTACTGCTTCGCGAATCAACCTGATATTGGTTTGTGGAATATTGCACAATTTTCCACGACTCTATCGGCGGCCCAATTGATAAATGACAAGGAGGCGAACTATGCCATGGAGAGGTATTAATGGCTTTTCACTTTTATTTATTTATTTATTTTTTTTGCCCTTAACCTTTGGGTTGAATAACGAAACCAAGATGAGGGTTGCAGTAGTTACAATGAAACCTCAGTCAGTTGAGGTTTGCTTCTGTTTTGAATCCAAGGGGTTTGCTTTAATATTTTTATTAATGTAATGAGGATGTTTGCAATGCTCACAGGCCATTTTTATAATCAAACTTAAGTTGGATTATTTGTTTTTGTAATCAAATTTCAATTGGATTATGGTTTTGAGATAATTACGAAAACTAACCCTGAGGAACGTAATTACAATAAACCACAGGAGTTTGGGAATCGCAGGAAAAAACTATGAGGTATGATGATGAATGTCATAGGATTCTTATGAAATATATCTCGCACAGGGGNATCTTGTTGGATCTTTTGTGATTTTGTTATTTCTATTTATTTCTTCTATCATTTAATTTTTCTTTTGTTTTTCTGTACATATATTTTTACCATGTTGACTTTCCTTGTCTCCTTGTTAGATATGGAACGAAGTTCATGGACGAGTATCAGGCCATTATGACCCAAAAACTTGGTCTGCCCAAGTACAATAAGCAGTTGATCAGTGACCTTCTGAAGAACATGGCTGTTGATAAAGTCGACTATACGATTTTTTTTCGGTTGCTTTCTAATATAAAAGCTGATCCCAACATTCCAGAGGATGAGCTGCTGATCCCTCTGAAGGCTGTTCTGTTGGATATTGGAAAGGAGCGGAAAGATGCATGGACTAGCTGGGTGAAATCATACATCCAAGAGGTATTTGTGCAACACGTTTTGGTTGATTTAATTCTGTTTATTGTAGATAAATATTTATGAAGGTTAGATATTATATCAATGAAATATGGTAATGAAATGCTGTGTACAGAAAGTATTGGTTCACATCTGTGTTTTTGTATTTGTCTTCTTCAGTCTTCTTTTCTTAATAAAAAGTTACGACGCAGTTGAGTATTTTCTTTTAGAAAGGGATAAATACTAATGCTCCTGATGATGTTAGGTCAGATTTAGGCGAAATAACTATTTATGTTAAAAAGTTTCAAATACCCTTTTCCATGCACTACAGGTAACCCCCATTGATGATCGAATTTTCTTAATTAGTTCTGTTTCTGTGGTTGATACAATTTTTATGTGGGTAATCATAATTTTAAAATTTTGATTGATGGCTGGATCCTTTTGTAGCAAGGCAACCTGGAAAGGGTTCTTTTGTAATTAATTCTTTCTTCAATTCTGAGTACTGGTTATTGAATCATAGACTTGTTTGTCCAGTTAAGATTTATCTAATTGAAACAAGAAATGAAACATGTCTTTCTAACGAAACCTTTTCCACATTTTTTCATTTTTTTTTTATTTTTTTTTTTTGCTTAAATCACTGACTAGCCCGTTTTAATTTTTATCCATCACAAATGTTTCATTTTGTCCCATATCAGCTTTTGACCAGTAGCATTCCGGATGAGGAGAGGAAAATATCAATGAATTCGGCAAATCCCAAGTACATCCTCAGGAACTATTTATGCCAAAGTGCGATTGATGCAGCTGAGCAAGGCGATTTTAATGAGGTCCGCCAACTACTAAAGGTTATGGCAAGGCCGTATGACGAGCAGCCCGGAATGGAGAAATATGCCCGTTTGCCCCCTGCTTGGGCTTACCGTCCGGGCGTATGCATGCTTTCCTGCTCTTCTTGATCTACAGATAACACAGTGCAATAATTATATGTGTACATAAAAAACACATGTAAGCTGTTGTTTTTGCTTTGGAAGGACTCATGGATTACTGTAAACCTTAAAATGTTCTTTTCTTTTGTTTTTGTTTTTGGCTGTTGGGTTAATAGTTCGCACCAGGGAGATGTATTTTCGGTATGAGTGCAAATTAGATTCTGATACAATTACTTGTTATAGCTTACGTAAGTTGGGACTATACAATCATACGTTTGAGCATCCACAGTGCATTGGTCTCTTAATAAAATATCATATGTCACATAGAAAATAGACATAGTGTATAAAAAAATGTCTCCCAATGTAATTAAAAGTGGATATGGTCTAGTTTATGTGGCAATAAAAAAAGAGATCAAATCCACATTTGGGTCTATTTTGAACCTAAGTACAAATTCAAACACTCATCATTTATTCTTAATTTAATTTTTCTTTTCATAAAAGAAACATATTAGAGCATTTTTATTGGTTGACATATATGTTAGACCTAGTATTTTATTTTTTCATTGATTAACTTTTGAGTTTTTTTGCTTGGGTTCGTCCATGTCATTTAAGACTTAAATCTATTTATATGCCACATATGTAAAATTAAACTCAATGCATTGTGGATATTAGGTACTCTTATTTTACCATTAGATTGGTTCAAAAATAAATAACCATAGATGGATGTGCGAGGCACAAAATAATTATTGTTGCATTGTACATTGCCTCATACGTCTCGTATTCATAATCTATTATATTCTTAATATAATTTAAAGTGAAAAATGAATTTAATTAATTGTATAATACTATTTGTATTTTTGTTTCAAGTCCATAAAAATTTCTAACATTTTAACTCAACCACTTTTTTTTTAACCCAACTTCACTGTCATCAATATTATCAATATAATTAAATAATATCAATCAATCATTCATACACACTACATCAACTTTAATTCACTATTATTCGCTCACATTATTTTAACTAACTATCATTTCAAATCATCTCTCTCCTACTTTTACTTCAAATCAATTTTAATTATTTTATTTTAAATATTATTTTAATATACCCACTAACACCTAACCAAACCACATTTTTCAAAATTAACCAAACCAAACCAAAAAATCCAAACAAAACCAAAAATTCCCATAAACAAACATGTTACTATCTACATATGTTATACTTCACGAAATAAAATAGTTCTTGTTCTTTTAAATTGCATTTTTTCTTTTTTTTCACCCAAATTGTTCTTTGGTTTCGCTTCAAAATACTCCCACTACAGCCCAACTACCATTCTTACAAATATCCAACAGCTAACCACTTAACCTGTGTTAGGCTGGAGCATTTAAAAAAATCGAGCCTCTAAGGGAATTTTCCGGCTGCTGCTTCATGGACGGCGGCATAGAAGACATCTTTGCGTCTTCTTTGAACTTGGAGGAGACCCATTTGAAAGAGGGTTACGGCGAGGGCCACGCGGACGGCCTAATCGCGGGCAAGGAGGAGGGCCGGCAAGTGGGCCTCAAGACCGGGTTCGAGGTCGGCGAAGAATTGGGCTTCTACAGAGGCTGCCTGGACATCTGGAGCTCTGCGGTTCGGGTCGACCCGGACTTCGTCTCGGACCGAATCCAGCGGATGATTAAGCAGATGGATCAGCTGCTGGAGAAGTATCCCATTTTGGAGCCGGAAAACGAGAGAGTCTCGGATATGATGGACTCCCTGAGGCTCAAATTTAGGGCTATTTGCGCCAGTATGAATGTGAAATTGGAGTACGATGGCTACCCGAAAGCTTCTCATGCAGGTGATATTGAGTTTTGACTTTTGATTGTTGATTGGCATAATTTTTTTTTTTATGGAAGTTTGGGTTCTCATGTATGTGATTGTTGTTGAGCATAAGGTGTTTGATGTTTGTCCTTAGAGAGGTATTCTGTTTTATGTTGGTGATTGTGATTAGATCATTAAAAAAAAAAACCACTTAACCTGTTAGGTTGATAGAATAAAGGCTATTACTGTATAACATAATAAGCTGGCATCTCCCTAATCTGGATATCACATTGCAGTGGGCTCTTATGACATCTCTGGATCCAGCTCAAAGTGTAACAAACTTAATATATGTTGGCCACAATTGCAATGCATCATCATCTGTACACATCAATAGGAGAAATCATTGGATAAAAAGATGCAAAAACTGAAAGAAATGTTTTCGGGTGCTATTTTTTTGAACCTATAGCGAAGCTGGGAAGTCAGCACTGTTAAGGTCTACTGGGATTTTAGAAGGAATCCTGTTAGTGTGCTATTTTGAGGTTTCATTGGAATTTTAGATGGAATTTGATGATTTCAATGGCTATATTTTCAACGGCTTTTTACCGTAGGAATTTCTGTTGGAATATGCAATTTCTGAAATTTTTATTTCCACCCCGTTGGAAAATCTACCGTTGGAATCATCAAAATTCAACGAAAATTTCAATGGAAAACTCATTACAACGGAATATTTTTGTTAGAATTTTCCATTGGAATTCATTAAAAAATTCCAACGGAAAATAATAGCATTGAAAAATATCCATTGGAATTACCGTTGGAATTTTATTTGAATATATTTCCGTTGGAATTTCATCATAGTGCTACATATTGAAGCATATTACCCTTGGATATTAATGAGCTTGGGTCTCTTTAAACTTGATTCTCATTTCAAATGAGATGTACGTCAAGTGACTGCCTTGCATATTGAGATAATTACCCTACACACTAACTTAATCATAAAATATTATATATCTACGAACAACAAATTTTATTAGCAAAATGAGATCAGATAACCTAAATATTTGTACATATACGATTGTTACACATAAACATTAATTACTTTTTTTCTTTTTTCATTCTCTTCTTCTCCCCTTATTTCTCTCCCTTAGACGATCCTCTCTCTTCCCCAACAAAAGAACAGAAAAAAATCAGATCTGGACCCATCGCCCCCTTTCTCTTTCTGGCAGCTGCGATTGCCCGAAAAAAAAAACCAGATCTAGACCCATCGCCCCTTTCTCCTTCCGACGACTGCGATTGCCCGGCTTCGCCTAGTTATTCATCACCGGCGGCCCTCGAGCGTGCTGATGGTGGACGAGTTGTCGTCATTCTCCACCTTCTCCCCGTCGCCATTAGACGATTCTCCGTAGCAGAAGTTGGCGTTAAATCTGAAGGCACCTTCCATCGCATCCTGAAACCTACGACAATAAAAGATGCTCGACGGTGGACTTTTGAATGAAACTTACGGCGATAGAAGATGCTCGACAGTGGACTTTTGAATTAATTGGCGTGGCTGATTTTTTTGGGGGCCATTTCTGTTGATGTATATAATGCATATATTTTCTGTATATTTTCGGTATATAATGACTAGATTGGTTGATCTTGCGTGTGGCTCAATTTTTTTTTGGGCCATTTTTGTTGATGTATATAATGCGTATATCTTCTATATATTTTCGGTATATAATGACTAGATTGGTTTATCTAATATTGTGTAATCTTCTGTATATTTTCAGTATATAATGATTGAATTAGTTTATCTTACGTGTATATCTTATATATATGTCTTATGTATATATTGACTATATCTTCTGTATATAATTTCTAGATTGGTTTATTTTATGTGTATATCTTATATATGTCTTATGTATATATATAATGACTATATCTTCTGTATATAATNAAAAAAAAAAAAAAAGAATGATTAGATTGGTTTATAATCAGTATATTTTTTGTATATGTGTTTTAGTTATCTGATTCCCTAATTTTCACACAGCATTTACGTGCAGAAGAGATAATGTGTAGTGAGAGAAGATCTTTGATTTATTTTGTTACAAATATTCCCGTAACTGACGGATGAGAGAGGGGAATTATACCATTATTAAGCCACCATTTAATTAGATAATTAATCCTTAATTAAGTTGTACCATTATTAAGCCACTATTTAATTAGATAATTAATCCTTAATTAAGTTGCATAGTTTCGTAAAGATGCAAAATATTTTCCCAACAATGTAAATATGTTAATATTTATCGTACATATCAGCACAAATGTAAATTCGCCTTGCATATTAGCGATACTTGGGTCTCATTTAAAATTTCATTCTCATGAATGTGGTTTTGATTTGTTAATCATTTTGGAGTGATATTTGTGACGGTACATGGAAAACGTATCATTGCATTTTATTTAAAAGTAATGCACCAAATCTTCAATCCCATACAAGTGCTTATCATGAATAAAGTGGCAAATGCATTTGAGGATTGAATCTCATTAGCCTTTATTGTTGCATGATCAATGTTACAATGAATCCATCACAACCACAATAATTCATCATAAGCTAATTTTCAAAGCTATTATGTCATTTGACAAGTTATGAAAGATAAAATTACCTCCCATACATCAAGTCAAAAGGTGATCTCTTAACTACTGCGCACATGTTGGTCTAGCATCATGATTTATGACCATTCTGTGCTCATGATGTTCAATCTTCCAAAAGACGATCCAAAGTAAGAATATAGTCGGACTCGGTAAACGCAACTTTCTACCTCAGCAAGATTCAACTTGGTCGCACGATTAGGTGGTCTAACGAGAAAGACTAGTGGATAAGAAGTAATATTATTTGCCCAACAAAATTGGACAGACAAATCGGACAATACGGACAGTTTAGACAATGCGAACGGGCAGCCCACTCAGGCAGTCTTGAGCAACAAGGTATCATTTCCCTTATAAAGGGAGTGAGGTATGCCCATTATTGTTTGTCTCATTTTTGTTGCATTTTACGTTGTCATTTTGTCTATATTTTTCCCTCGTTTTAGGCCGTTTCTTTCGTTTTTAGTCCGTTTCATGTTTTATTATGTGTTTTCCTTCATTTTGAGTCTTTAGGTGTTTTTCGTTTATTTTTCCGGTTGTCTTCGTGTTTTTTCATTTTTAGTGTGTAGGTCGGGAGCTTCGGGCGAATTTTCTCAATAGGAAACATTGGTTTCGAGAGCATAATTGAATAGAAGGGTTTGTTGGCGACGCGTAGCAAAAAACGGAACTCAATTCCGAGTTCGGACGAGCCCGAAACGTAAAGTCATGCAGTGCAGCCAAAGTCGCGGCTCGCATCGCGACTCGCGACTTTAACAGAACCTCCGATCGACGCCAGCGACCGTGCCAACTCGCGAGTCGCGACCCAGTCGACCTATTTTTATTTTTCTCCGGTTTTCTCATTTTTGCTCGGTTTTTCGAGCCCTATATATTGGGATGACCCCCCAGACTTGAAGAAGAATCCCAATATCGTTCTTTTCTATTTTTCTCTCCAAAAACTCCATCTTTCAACTTGATTTCTTGATTGCTTTTGGACTAAGCTTGTAATTCGGATTCAAGTTCAATTTCTCTATTAATCGTTAGTCTTTCTTTTCATTTAATTGATGAAAATAATTGCTTGGGTTGTGATGTTGAATTGTGTTGAATTCGATCTACATAGCTAAATACGATTGCTAGGAATATGGGATGATTGTTCTTGTTTAATTCGTAATTGTTGGGCATTAATTTGTTCGTTCTTGTGCGAGTTGAATTGATTAGGAATTGATGAATTCTTGCTTGATTGATTGATATAATCAAAGAGTGACACTTCGATCTTGCAATTGGAAACGATTGAATATTGACTTGTCTAGTTAGGGTTTTGTTGATTCTAAATGAATAGTTGATTAAATACCTTCTAATTTAATTAGCGACTTTTAGAACTGAAAAGAGATGAATCGTAGAACTAGGCTCACACGAGATAGACGATTTCATAACTGAATATTTTATAGGTTCCGGATTGAAGTACACGCTTGTCAATGTCCCTTCCCTTGTTACGAAAAGTTATTGAGATTGGATTATTGACCGGTGTTGTATGGTCGAACTTGCTAGTCTATGTTCAATCCCTTGTTACGAAAAGTTATTGGGAGCAAACCGCTAGATGTTTAAGCGAGAGTGTCAATCTTGAACTGAACGATTAATTGCCCGGCTTTACGTTTTGAACTGGAATAAATTATCCCCGACTCCCTAGCTTCTTTATCATTGTTTCGTTTACATTCTTAGGTAGATTTATGTTCTATATTATTTCTTAGTTGATAATAATTCCAATCCATCTTGATTAGTATGTTTAGGATTTATTTTCCTTTTATGTGCGATCAACACCACTTCTAGATTCCGAATCGCCTTTTTCGAGAGATCGACTCGGGGAACAAATCTTTTGATTTGATACTTGGTAAAAATAAATATAATTTGCTACAACAATTATCATACTACATCCTCTATATAACTTAAGCATTGGAGGCTTTTCACCGGAATACCCCTCCAGTGTGAGAGTTTTTGCAATTCTCAAGGTGTTCAACCACTTGCGGATGCTTATAGGGACCACCCACACTAAAAAATAAAGACACATATATATGTAGCCTAAACCCATGTAATAAAAAAACCTAATTAAAAGCCCAAATAATTGAGACTAATATAATAAAGTCTTTAATAAATAAATTAGCATTAGGTTGTTTAATGCGGGCTGGCAGAATTCAAGCAAGAACAAAGACGAATAAAAGGAGAAAAAAGAGGGGGGAAAGGAGAAGGAAAAGAGAGAAAAGAATAAAAAAAACCTTATCAATTTTTATTCCAATTGTTCGAGAAGATGACTTGCGAGGTAACGAAATCCCTTTATATTTATTTGGGTGGAGATAAAATTATTTTCCTTTGTTTCTTAGGTAGTGACAAATATATTCTTTCTATGTAGGAATTGTAAATTCAATCTCTAAATACTTATAGCTCTTTAAAGCGTGATACGTCGAAATCGAAAATTTCATGTAAATTTATAATATATATATATTTTTTTTATAGCAGAGATGGAAACATATTTTCAAAAAAGGGCCCCGTCAACAATGTGCCTGTGAAAATGTCTCAAAAGGAGATACTTTGAATCCAAATAGATTTGAGGGAAATTCTTGTATCACTGGCCAAAAGAAAATAAAGAACGGAATTTAATGGTGATCGAGGAGTTCGATCCTTCTCAACTTCCCTCTAATCTTAGATTGATAATTTCAATCTCAAGCGATAGTCCAAACATTAGAGACCAAGTTCGAAGAGTATATTTGCAGAAAGGTTAAATGAGTGATGATTGGTTAGATGATAGACTAGTTTATGTGGGAAAGGAAACCTACTTGAAAATTGACAATGATGTTATTATCGAGTTATATCGGGCTATTAAAACTCGTTATGTCTTTGTATTTTCACTTTTTATTATGATATTTTATATTTTTTCATTGAATAATCAGGCTCCCCCTTATTCTATTTGCTAGACCCGCCATTGTGTTCAACTAGCGAGGAGCTCAAAGCAGGTCGAATCCCAGCCAGTCGGAGGTCTTTTGTGTACCAATAGTTAATCTAATTTTTATTATAAAGATAAATATAATTATTTATTTATTTGTATGTGCAATCTAGGTGTTAAACTGAAACTCATCAAGACATTGTTAATTTAATATTACAAAATTGATAATAAATACAAAAATTATTAAATTTTAATTCTATTTATAATATATGTTAGTAATTTTTTTATAATTATAAAAGAAAGTTGAGGAAAAAAGAAAGATTAGAGAAAAATTATATCTTATAAACTACGTTTAAAAATAAGAATAATATTAAAATCTAATTAATATTTTTTATAGATATTCGCATGATTGGAGTAATGGAATGAAATTTGATAGGAATGGAATGTGTTGAAGAATTGAATGAATATGGAAAAGTAATGAAACAAGTTTTTTCATTGATGTGTTTGGTATGCAGAAGGAATAAGACATGAATTGAATGATATTCTCATTCTATATTATCAGTTATCACTATTTGATTGAAAAATTAATATTTATATTAATGTTATTTTTTATTTATGATGATAATAAAATTATTTTATTTCTTATAATAAAATACTATATTTTGATAAATATATTTTTGTATTATTACACTCATATATATTATAAACTAAATTAGTTAATTGTGTATTCATATACATATTAACTAATACAAAATAAAAATAAGTTTTTAAACTAATTTTATTTAATATAATTTAATCGTGCTTCATAATATATATTTATGTAATGTAGTAATTTTGGATAACTTTTTTAAAAGGAAATTAACAAATTCATTCCTAATTGATTTGTCCGGTTTTGCTATTGAGCCAACAGTTGACTCTATAGTGGAACCAACCTTCTATATACAACAAATAAACCTACCATATTAATAAAAATATATTAGTGTTATTTAAATAATAAGAGAATATGGTAGGTTTACTTGTTGTATATAGAAGGTTGGCTCCACTATGGAGCCAACTGTTGGCTTCATAGCAAAACCGTTGATCTGGAGTGGTTAAAACCATAGGTTATGGGAGGACAGAAATGTTATGGAGTCATAGGATGGTTCCCTTATGGAGCCATCCATAACTTTATGTATCGACAAGTGTCCAATGTGTATTTGATGCAGGACACGTGTCCATACACCATTTGTGGATAACTATGGATGACTCCATAAGCCAAGCCATCCGATGGCTCCATAGCAAAACCGGATAGGAGGAATGAATAATCCCATAATAATAGGAATAGTGATTGATTCTATGTAATGGTCATTCCTAACATCAAAAGAACTAAGTATAGGAATGAGAATCAAATAAGGAATAATCAATTCATTCATGGTCCATTCCTATAGCTGTTGTATCAAAGTAGCAACTTTACATTTAATCTAGGTTTAACAATTACATATGCTAATACACCCATAGATAATAATATTAAAATATAATTAATATTCTTAAAAATGATAATAAATATTTATTATATTTATAGATATTCCTAATTATTTTAGTTTGGAATAGGAAATAGTATTATAACATATTTAATATTTTATAAATAATTGTAAATATTCATTATGCTTATAGATATTCCTAATTATTTTAGGATTGAGAGTAAATCCTATTCCTAATTATATTTTTGTATTGAAAGTAGCTTATAAACCCATCTCACCAAGGACAAAGCACGAATATTGGAGTCGTGCCGAACGTAGTACGTGTGCTCCAAGCAGAACACGTACCCGCACCTGCAACCGGATCTGAGATATCCGGCGCTCTTGCGAGAGGAATACGCGGCGGAGATGAGATCGTCTGCGGCGGTTTGCAGACGGGTAAGTTTTCTGGGACCTTGACCTCGATTTCTTATTTTTCTCTCTTTTGCGCATACTTGTTTTTCTTTTTTTTTTTTTAATTATTTTTTTCTTCCAGAGGTTGGAGAAAAAGCGAGCGAAGAGTAGAAGGGAGAAAATGGGAAGATGGAGACATCATGAGGATGGTGATGAGGATAATAGAAGAAGTGAGAAGGATGAGATTGAGAATAAGAAAGGAGAGGAGAGTGAAAATAATGGGAGAAGTGGTGGAGTCTACATTCTGCCTTTCATGCTGGCAAGAAGAATGAGGGATATCCAGGACAAAAGTAGCCTCGATTATCAGAGGATGACATGGGATGCATTGAAGAAGAGTATTAACGGGCTTGTGAACAAATTGAACGCCACTAATATAAAGAATATAATTCCTGAGCTTTTTGCTGAGAATCTGATACGTGGGAGGGGTCTGTTCTGTCAGTCGTGCATGAAATCCCAATTGGCTTCTCCGGGCTTCACAGACGTGATTGCAGCCTTGGTTGCTGTGTTGAACACCAAGTTCCCAGAGGTTGGTGATCTTTTGCTGAGGAGGATAATTGAGCAACTCCAGAAGTCGTACAAGCGTAATGATAAGGTTTGTATCTTTTTTCTCCTTTCTGGGATCTAATTTGCTGCATTATGATTTTGTAGATGGTCTTATGTGTTCTGATTGGATCTTCTGGCAGCTGAGATTACTTGCTCTGGTCAAATTTATTGCGCACCTGGTGAACCAGCAGGTGGTGCACGAGCTTATTGCCCTTGAGCTGCTGACATTGCTGCTGGAAAAGCCGACTGATGATAGTGTTGAAGTTGCTGTGGGTTTTGTGACCGAGTGTGGCTCCTTGCTTCAAGATCTCTCTCCTCGAGGATTGCATGGTGAGTTCAGATTTTTTTTGGACTGCCTCCCATTTTATGTTGATGTGGTCTTGATTGTCTAAAGGTGGGGGCACTAATCATGCTATTATATGTATCGAGCTGTCCGTATACCAAATTACAGGGAAACTAGTGATGGGAATTCTTGCTGTATTCTGTTTTTCTTTGCTGGATGGAGAACATTTTTGCAATTTTGGCCAGTATTTTTCCTTGTTTGCTGTAATTGATTGCCTATTTACATTCCTATGGTGCGTGTGTGCTTGCTTGCAACCTAAACATGGTTTCTGTGGTTCATTATTCTTATACTACCGAAATACACAACTACCATTTAATACTTACACATACACGTGCGCGTGTGCTTTCTTGAAGACATGTGATGAAGACATGTTTATGTGTGAGTTAAATGCTGCCACAAGTTCTGCATTCTTTTCCTTTTATAGTTATGAACTGCAGAATCTCTTTTATGTGATACTTTGGGTTTCCAACTCTACAGGCATCTTTGAGCGGTTCCGTGGAATTCTTCATGAAGGAGAAATCGATAAGCGCGTCCAGTTCTTAATCGAAGGGCTCTTCGCATTGAGGAAAGCAAAGTTTCAGGTGAGGTTCCACTTTCAATGTTACTACTGAAAACTACAGTGTACAGATCTGCATATGTCATTTTATCTTAAGTGCACATCAGTTTGATGCCTGATTCAAACTTTTCTATGGATTTCACCTTATTCAGGGCTATCCCGCTGTCCGTCCTGAACTCGATTTAGTCGAACAGGAAGACCAACTGACTCACGAAGTGTCGCTTCTGGACGAGATTGATTCCGAGACCTCATTAAGTATGTGTCTTCTGCCTCACTTTATTGTCTTCTATGCTCACTTTCGTGTTCAATAATGGCTGTATTTGTCTCTGTTCAGATCTCTTCAAGCCCGATCCTCACTTCTTGGAGAACGAAAAATGGTATGAAGAGCTTAAGAAGCAGATTCTAGGTGAAGAATCTGAGGACAATGCCGACTCGGATAATGATGCATATTCGGTTGATGAAGAGTCTGAGGAAGAGGATGAGGAGCAGATGAAGATAAAAGATGAGACAGAGACGAACTTGATCAATCTCCGAAGAACTATCTACTTGACTATTATGTCTAGTGTTGATTTTGAAGAGGCTGGGCACGAGTTATTGAAAATCAAGCTGGAGCCTGGCCAGGAGGTGAGTGTATATTTTATTTTATTTGGGGAAAAATAAAAGGGGAATAGGAATTTCCCTTTTTTAGCTGCAAGTATTATGTTCACGTGACATGGTCTACATAAATTTATGTGGTCCCTTTAAGTGTAAATAAAGTTTTCCTCATTTTCGTTTAAATTCTGGAATGTTGCAGATATTTTTCCAATGCTGTGATTTGTGGTCAAGCTTGTGTTTCAAATTACAAACTTTTATAATTTTGAAGTTAGATTTTTGTTTTCTGAGTGTATATCCGAATTACATGCAGTGGTAAATGGATAAGGCAATAAATCTTATTCATATTAGTTATTTATATCTTCAAATTTTACTTGTAGTCACTTAGTGTTTATTTTAATATAATTCTGATGATTGATTTCCGTTCTGTGTAGATGGAATTGTGCATTATGCTTTTGGAGTGTTGCAGCCAGGAGAGAACCTACCTCCGATACTATGGACTCCTGGGGCAACGGTTCTGTATGATAAACAAGGTTCATCAGGAAAACTTCGAGAAAAGCTTTGTTGAGCAGTACTCTATGATTCATCGACTGGAGACCAATAAACTTCGTAATGTGGCAAAATTCTTTGCTCATTTACTTGGCACAGATGCATTGCCTTGGCACGTCTTAGCCTATATAAGGCTGACCGAGGAGGACACGACTTCTTCTTCCCGTATTTTCATCAAGATTCTCTTCCAGGTGCCCGATTAGTATTTTTACTCTCTTAATTTTCTCCATTTACCGTCTAGTATTATCTAATATTGTTGGGCTTTTCTTGTCAATTCTGTTATCTCTTATGACATACAATGCAATAGGTCATATTTTTTTTATTCCTTGAATGGGTTTATTGTTGCGTGCATCTCGATGATGTTTCCTCTTATTCTCATCTCTCAAAATTGCTAAAAAACTGAAATATCATCTTATTTGTTGAAGGAATTGTCTGAGCACCTTGGGATCCGCTTGCTGAACGAGCGCCTGAATGAGCCAGCTATGCAAGACTCGTTCGAGTCCATCTTCCCGAAGGATACCCCGAAGAACACGAGATTTGCAATTAATTTTTTCACATCCATTGGGCTTGGTGGGGTCACGGAGAACATGCGAGAGTATCTAAAGAACATGCCGCGCCTCATAATGCAACAGAATAGGGACGTGCAGGAGCAGGATTCAGATTAACCAACATTCGTATTTTCCGAAAAAATCTATGTCTATCGAGTTGAGTGTTAGGCACATTCTATGCTGCAGATTTTCCACTAAAAATAATAAGATTTTTTTTTTGGACTATTTGGACAGTTTGACCAGGTCTCAGAACTATTCGAGATCTTTGAAGTGACAATTTGAGGACAGATCAATAAAAAAAAGCTTCTTATTTTGAAATTTGTGTGATCACTTTGTTGCAAAGTCTACAGATATCTGCTTTTTGAGATTTTTGTGAAAGCGCAGAAGGAAAAAAAAAAAAATCCTCTCAAAAACTTGATATCTCCTAATGCATTTGCTCAATTTTAAGGTTTTCAGCTCTTTTGACCAACCCCGATCAACTGATACTTTTTTGATAGTCCATTCAATCCATTTATACATTGACCATAGACCATATATACAAAACTTGAACAGAACACTGATTGTAGTTTTATATATACATGATACAGTCCCAAAAACTAGGTGCATTGTTAATCCTCTCAGATTAAAAAAAAATATACATATTCTACTTTTTGAAATGGATTTCACATTTTGGTGCAGATTATTATTCTTCATGCTACCTACCATGAAAATAATCTCAGCTTATGCTCAACCCCAAAAAAACATTACCGTAAAATCAGTTATAATCGCCGGCGACTCGAATTCTTCCTGGAAATCGTCATCCGGAGAATTCGCTCTGGGTTTCCAGCAAGTCTCGCCACATGGCTACCTGCTAGCAATCACGTTTGACCAATTGTCAGAGAAAACCATCGTTTGGGCTGCCAATCGTGATAAACTAGCCAAACCGGGCTCGTTGGCCCAGATTTCAGCTGATGGCGGGTTGGAACTCATTGGTCCAACTGGAGAACATATTTGGGCCTCAAATATTACGGGCCCGGGCAGCGTGGCCCGTGGTACCATGCTTGACAATGGCAACTTTGTCCTTGAGAGGCAAGACTCGTTTTTCCTGTGGCAGAGTTTCAACGAGCCAACCGACACATTATTACCCGGCCAGGTCACCGCTCACCACTCCCTCTTCTTTCTCTTCTTTAATAGAGTATAAATTAAAAAAAGCTAATTTGGAGCTTTTCACTAGTGTGTCGTAAGTCGTAACTCATAAGCGGAACCACAG